CCAGTATACAAGGCCAGAGGCGAAGCGAGGGGGGGGGGGGCGGGGGTACATATGTCCCCGGGCGCCGACACTAGGGAGGGGGGGGGCCAAAATGGGTTGGGAAAAAAGCTCATTTTAGCTGCAGTTTTGCATTATAAAAATAAAAAAATAATCGGGAGGGGGGGGGGGGGGCGTCAAATTGAAAGTTTGTCCCCGGGCGCCGGGAAGGGTCGCTACGCCTCTGTACAAGGCTAAAGAGAGAGGAACGAAAAGAGACATAGGAATAGAGAGGAAAAGAAGATGGAAGTAAGGTAGTAAGGAAAAGAAAGAGAGAAAACGAGAGCAAGGAGAAAGAGAAAGAAATAGAGTAAGAGTTATGCAGAGAAGAACAGAGGGAGAAAAACTGAAGAAGATACAAAGAGGAAGAGGGAAAGAAGGAAGATAAAGAGTAATAGAGAGATGATTGTGAAGAAGAGAAGAATAAAGAGGAAGAAAGACAACAGAAACAACGAAGAAAATGTAATGACAGACATCCCAGAGAAAACACAATTATTGGTAATTAAAAACAGATCTAAACTCGCCAACACAACTAGCTGGATCAAGTTTACATTGGCCAGAAATCAGTGTATGTCCGTTATTTTAAGTTTTCTCGCTACAAATTCATAGATTAGGGGAATTAACTCTTAAGGATAAACCATGGAGATTTTTAGCTTCGATTCTTAGCATTTACTGAGTTATAGTTCCTGTCGTCCAGGTTTCTGTCGTCCCACATAAAATCGATTCAATAATTCGTTCATGAATTTTAGATATAGAAATCAAAACAAATCAAAGGTTACATTTTTTCCCCTCTCCCCTCACTCGATAAAATGTAATGAGATGGTTTCCATGGCAACGCGCGCCGGAGCTGTAAGAGTTGCTCAACAACCAGCGGCCATCTTTACATACGGGGCATTCCGTGGGAAGTTCAGCAATTAATTAATTAGCTCAGAAAACAAAAGTCGCATTACGCTGTCGGAAACTATAATTAATAAAGCCGGCCGGTATTTTGTAACTCAACACGACGCTGCGCTAGGGGCGGTGGAACACGGCGCGGCTGTCACGGAAAATTCCGGCTTCAGGCTTACAGGCATCACTAAGGTACACGAGTTCGACCTAATGGTGTAATTTATCACGGAAAATTCCGGTTTAATTACACAAGCACGACCAATTGTGTAATATATCACGGAAAATTCCGGTTTAATTACACAAGCACGACCTAACAGTGTAATCTATCACGGAAAAATCCGGTTTAATGCCTACATGCATCACTACAATACACGTACTCGACCTAACGGTGTAATCTATCACGGAAGATTCAGGTTTAATTATACAAGCACAACCAAACAGTGTAATCTATCCCGGAAAATTCCGGCAACATTTCTATACACGTACTACACCTAGCGGTGTAATCTATCACTGAAACATTGTCTTAGAAACACGATTATCTTTTAACCTCCCTTTGATGGATAATCTAACGGTTGGTTTTAAAAGATGGGAGTTGGGTTAAAGACGACCAGGTCTTAGTTTGGTCACGTGAGCTTCAAGACACGTCTCTCGAAATAGCAATAAAATTTAAATTAAATAAAAAAACGTGTCTTGGAATAACAATACAGTAAAATAAAAAAAAATAAAAATAAAAAAAATAAAAAAAATAAAAAAAATAAAAAAACAACGTGTCTTGGAATAAAAATAAGGTAAAATTTAAAAATAAAATAAAAATTCTAAAGTTGTCCTTCTGACGTTATTGTTATTTCAACAGCATCCATCTAAACGGAATATTTACAAGTAAAAATACTGCACAAGTTCACTGCACATTGAATGATAAAATATAGGAGAGCCGGGACTCTACCTTGTCTTACAAAATGGTGTGCTGTCATTTACTGACATCTTATGTTGTCATTTTTATATTTATATATGTTTGTTGTCATGATTGTTAGTAGATGAGTCTGCGCATCGCAGTCAGCGTAATGCTATCGTCTTTTTGTTTTTTGGTCCATCACCGGTTTCTTTTGCCAATAGTTGGTTATCTCCCTTAACATTAACGGCGGTTCATCCAATAGTTAACGCCCTTGACTACCAGTGTTTTCATTTCTGTGTTACTTCCCCTAATTTTATAAGCGGTTGATTTTTTTATCGTTTAGTTTATTTACTACCGTTCATAATTTTAAAAAAATCTATGTGTTATTGTTATCCTCTAATTATTTTGTTAATGTTTTTAACCGTTTATCGTTCCTAAATTTACCGCCTATTTCATCCATTTAGGTTGTCTTTTTCATTCTTGTCAATACCCTTCTCCAATGATGTAATCGTTTTTTTTCTTTTTATTCTAACAACCCCACCCTCTTTTATCTAAACCCTTCACCATTTAATACCCCCCCACCCCCAACACCCACCCATGTCACGAATCCCATAATTCAATAAAATGTAGGTCCTCACATTCCTCAAGGGGAGTAGCGTCCCCTGGTGATCGGCAAGGGGAGAATACTGGAGTTAATACAATTGGAACAAGAGCTGCTAAAAATAGATTTCTGACGAATGATGAGTGATGGAGGGGGCAGTGGAATAGAGGACAAATGATGAGAAGAAAAGAGAGGGAGGGGGAGGAGAGAGGTATAACGAGAGATGATAATAAAGAAGGAGGATGGACGGAGATAAAATAAAACATCGAGAACGACGACGATAAAAGAAGAATAAAAAACAAAACGCCGACAAAATAACGGAGGGTGTGTGATGGTGGATGTGGTGGTGGTGGTGGTGGTGGTGGTGGTGGTGGTGGTGGTGGTGGGGTTGGAGGGGGTACACCTGTAGCCAGGCCACATTACTAAAGTGTGGCTGTTGTAATCGCGGAGTGACGTCATTTGTTGACCACAGGAACTTTATCTGACAATTCAACTTCCGGTAAAAAAAGTGGCACCTAAAAATTGGGACCTAAAAACGGGGCATCGTAGAAGTGTACCCAAAAAAAGCAACACCTAAAAACTAAGTGGAACCTATACTTATTACACCATACACCAGTTTACTACAGTAAAAAATAAACAGCCTACACGCAAGCTGACTAATCTATCATACAGTTATTGGGGGGTCTGGGAAAAACATTAAAACGTCGTTAATCTCACATAAACGTGTCAGGCACCTAAGTATTTCTTCCAGGCAGATACACCTTTTACAGGTGACGTAACGGCATTTGAAGTCAGTTGTTAAGGCTAGCAGTACTACAGCAATCTGCTTGACTATGCTTTAACATTAACTTTCAAAAAAATATAACAAAATATAACCGCAATATATTTACCCAGCTTTGAGTAAGTCAAACTTGGAGCTTCATTGTTTGATTTTTTAACGGTGTAAAAACTACAGTTGAAAATACAAATCTTGACAAACGAAAATGAATAACAAGCAGAAAAAAAATTGTGCAAATGTAGCGCTTTGATCTTTACATGAATTGTCGATGATAAAAGTACGTGGTTTTATTGAAATATTATTCTGCAAAAATTGTCTGAATTGTCTCAATTTTTAAGAATAGAATTAAAAAAATAACTTGCTTTGCAAAGATTACGCGTATTCTGATATTTGTGTTACATAAATATCAACAATGACGATACTTCAATTATAGATCTACATTTGTAAGTTCCGTTACAAAATATCGTTAATATCCAGTGGCGTAGCGAGGTCGGGTGTCACCCGGTGCGGCACTTAATGGTGTCACCCCCCCCCCCCCAGAGGCGTAGCGACCCTTCCCGGGGACATACTTTCAAATTTTCGATTTGCACCCCCCCCTCAAGTTTTCGATTTGCACCCCCCTCAAACTTTCGATTTGCACCCCCCCTCAAGTTTTTCTCTATATATTTTTCTATTTTTTGCCTTGGTGTCTGCCCATAAATGGTGTCCCCCGGTGCAATCCGCACCCCCCGCCCCCACCCTCGCTACGCCCCTGTTAATATCAATACTATTTTTTACGAATATAAACACGTCAGATACTAGAGCTGAAGAAGTTACGTTACTAAAAGAAACACTGACGTAGACATAGACGTGCCTGCGATACAATGACGTCATATTATCACCGTAATCTTGACCTCCCCCACGAGTTGTAAGGACCGCGAGAGTACATCCCTGGTAAGTGACAGGTCTAGAGGCGGTACTCACGCGTGTCACGGGCGCTAAGGTGAAGGCCGTCCTTGAGGAGCACTCGACGAGTGCCAGAGCAGTAGCTGAGGGACCATGGTGTGAGGGGAGATGGTGACTTGGAGAGGTGGTTGCTAGAATCGATGCTGGTACAAGACGTCCCTAAGACTCTATTAGCTGCCCTGTCTTGTTCCGATGCTACTGTGGTGACTGGTTTACATCTATCTCTGACATGACCGACTGGTGGTACCTCATCGGACCAAAGACCGTTAATTCATTTGAACTAAGGCGGTTAATTCATACGATCAAAGACAGGTACCTCATCTAACCAAAGGCCGATAACTTATTATATCAAAATACAGTTAATTCACCGGAGCAAAACCGGTAACTCATCCGACCAAAGACCCTTAACTCATTAAAAGAAGGGCCGGTAACTTCTTGAACCAAAACTAAACCTGTAACTCCTCCGATAAAGGATCAGTAACTCACAACACCATAGACCCAACCGACAGAAAAAAAAACAGTATAAAAAACCACCAGCTAACTGAATTTAATCTGAGCAGAATTCCTCAGTAAACAAAAGACCAAATTAAAAAAAAAAAGGTAGACATAACTGAATCTAAAAATGTAAATTAAGTTAGTGTTTATCTAATAATATGTCAAGTTCCTTGGAAATATAAAATAATCGTAGTCATCATGTCTAGAACTAAACCAGATGTTTTTTTTTTTACTAACAGATAATGTAAAAATATAACAAAAATAAAAGACCAAACATCTTTGTATGCCAATGTAGATGAGTTTAAAGGATAGAAAAAGTTTAAAGAGAACTAAAAAAAAATTGTAAAAAAAAAACACAAACTGACCACAATTCTGGGGATGTGTCGCTGCTCACCCGGGCCGTACACCCCCGCCAGACGGAGGACGCAGCACTTGAACGTTCGGCCACTGGCCGTCAGATGACCGTTGGTCGCCAGGACTTTCTTCTCAGCGTACATCTTGGTCTTGGAGTAGTGGTCAGTAAACTGGTGGACATATACAGTAGGGCGTTGATATATATGCACATATATGAGAATATATATATACGCATTGATACAAATATATACGCATACATGTTTATGTATATGTGTAAATCTATATCTACATTTAAATCTAAATCTAAATCTAAATCTCTATATCTATATCTATATCTATATCTCTATATCTATATCTATATCTATATCTATATCTATATCTATATCTATATCTCTATATCTATATCTATATCTATATCTATATCTATATCTATATCTATATCTATATCTATATCTATATCTATATCTATATCTATATCTATATCTATATCTATATCTATATCTATATCTATATCTATATCTATATCTATATCTATATCTATATCTATATCTATATCTATAACTATCTTTATATATCTATATCTTTATATATCTATATCTATATCTATATCTATAACTATCTTTATATATCTATATCTTTATATATCTATATCTTTATATATCTATATCTTTATATATCTATATCTTTATATATCTATATCCTTATATATCTATATCTATATCTTTATATATCTATATCCTTATATATCTATATCTATATCTTTATATATCTATTTCTTTATATATCTATATCTATAACTGTATCTGTATATGTATCTGTATCTAACCTATATATAATCTTTATCTAATCTATGTCTAATCTATGTCTAATATATGACAAATCTATATCTATATATAATTATATCTATGTCTATCTCTACGTTTATGTCTATGTCAGTATCTGACTGTCTATATGCTGTCCGTATATATATGTATATGTATATGTATATGTATATGTATATGTATATGTATATGTATATGTATATGTATATGTATATGTATATGTATATGTATATGTATATGTATATGTATATGTATATGTATATGTATATGTATATGTATATGTATATGTATATGTATATGTATATGTATATGTATATGTATATGTATATGTATATGTATATGTATATGTATATGTATATGTATATGTATATGTATATGTATATGTATATGTATATGTATATGTATATGTATATGTATATGTATATGTATATGTATATGTATATGTATATGTATATGTATATGTATATGTATATGTATATGTATATGTATATGTATATGTATATGTATATGTATATGTATATGTATATGTATATGTATATGTATATGTATATGTATATGTATATGTATATGTATATGTATATGTATATGTATATGTATATGTATATGTATATGTATATGTATATGTATATGTATATGTATATGTATATGTATATGTATATGTATATGTATATGTATATGTATATGTATATGTATATGTATATGTATATGTATATGTATATGTATATGTATATGTATATGTATATGTATATGTATATGTATATGTATATGTATATGTATATGTATATGTATATGTATATGTATTATATGTATTATATGTATTATATGTATATGTATATGTATATGTATATGTATATGTATATGTATATGTATATGTATATGTATATGTATATGTATATGTATATGTATATGTATATGTATATGTATATGTATATGTATATGTATATGTATATGTATATGTATATGTATATGTATATGTATATGTATATGTATATGTATATGTATATGTATATGTATATGTATATGTATATGTATATGTATATGTATATGTATATGTATATATATATATATATATATATATATATATATATATATATATATATATATATATATATATATATATATATACAAGTATGTGTGTGTTTGTGTGTATGTATGTGTGTGTGTGTGTGTAAAAATATACAAGAAGTTCAACAGGTGCGACCAGTTACCTTGTCGTCTGTCAGGTAGGGTAGACTCTCGTCCCCATTACGTATCTCCTCCCCACCAAAGATGACGTTGTACGTGCTCGTGTAGACTAGCCTTGTGACGTCATTCTCCAGGCAAGCTGAGGGTTTGAAACAGGTAGCGTGTCAGCAGGGGTTGGGTTTAGATAGGGTTCAGTCACCCGTAACAGTGTGGGTAGCGCGTACGACTGGGGGTGTAGGGGCTTATTATCATAGAACGAGCTACACTGGGATATATATATATATATATATATATATATATATATATATATATATATATATATATATATATATATATATATATATATATATATATAAACACAATTTATCAATACATGTGATGTGTGGTAGTTTTCAATGAATGTGTCGATCACTGTGAGTAGAATTGACACAAAGCACATAACAAAGTGGTTTTATTTTTAAATTCTGGTCTGGCTGACCTAGTTAAGTGAGTTGTTTTCATTGTGTCGCGTTGGGCGAGTGAACACTTTTTTAACACTGGCTGACTTTGGATTGTTGGTGATTTAAACTCGGCACTAGTGATTCTCTCCGGCCCAGCGCCCGTTTGACTGGGGTTCGAATCACGGTGATGTCACCGTATGACGTCACCTAGCTATGACGGGTACCTGACTCCGGAACAGGTAACACACAAAGGCAGTACTCGCTTCACCTCACAAGCTCCGAATGATCATTTCACCCACTCGAAGTATTGACCTTATCCAACAACCATTCGATTACTTTTTGTTTTCCTTTTTTACTTTCTCGTATATACGAAGTATAGAGAAAGTATTGTAATCGTGCACAAAAATCACTTGAAATTTTAACAATTTTCACCGTATTACACCTCAGTCCTTCATCACATCCGAAGTATAGAGGACTTATTTTAATCGGGCAAAAATTATCAATCCAGATGTATCAAAATTAAGAGGTTTTGTGCGTAATCCAGTCTGAAAAACTGGGCTTTGCAACTCTGTCCGTATGTCTGTGTGTGTGTGTGTCTGTGTGTCTGTCCGTGTGTAAACACGATTACTTGAGTACCGTTACAGCTAGGTTGATGAAATTTCATATATAAGTAGTTTATCAAAATCGTAGATCCGTATCAACTTTTGAGCGATTTCCGAGAACCGGAAGTGGTACTTTTTCTACTTTGAATTTTTAAAAAGCCTATAACTTGAGTATTATTTCACATAGATAAATGAAATTTCACACATAAGTTAAAGATCTAATTCTCTACCTTCTGTTAAATTTTGAGTAATTTCCATTGACCGGAAGTAGTAATTTACGCTACTTCCGATTTCTCAAAAAACTAATGTAAATTTTTAAAGTACTAATAATATTGCGCACTATTAAACACTCTTTTATTTAGCGTTCACTTGGTGTGCAATTCATTTGTCTACGAGATTTTATTCTATTTTTAAAACTTTAAGTATTTAAAATTGATTAAAAATCATGTCTATAGCCCGAGTTCCCATCCCCTGTTGTTTTTTATAAGAATATTCGAGAAAGTTTAGGGGAGATCACTCCCGGTTTATTTCTTCAGTATTACGTTTTTCACCATCGGCTTGTCAGGACTTACAATAGTCATACTTCTTCTTTTAGACATGTACTTTTATTCATTAAAGATGGTTTGCTTATACATAATACTTATAAAATAACGATTATTTCAATTTTATTTTTAAACCACGACCATTTGACTACACATACAACAATGAAGTGATATTCAGATTTTACTAAATCACGGATTCCAACAAACAGTGAACAATACAGCCTTATCGAAGTCAAATGTGTTATGCTTTCAAAAATATATATTTCTATTTCTGATATGCGATTAACCCTATTTCGATATAAACGATTGTGCTATAATTTTAAAAAATTGTCTACTAAAAATCTAAATAAAGAGAACTTGATATCAAATTATTTTCTAAGAGGACGCGCTTGAGTATGAATTTTCAGGCGGAATAAGAATAGCGAGCGTAATTCAGGGGAGACCACCTTATTATAATTATTTAAAAATTAGACGTAAGGGTCGCGGAGTTCCTTCCCCTGCACAATGCCACCAAAGTGCAATCTTCCTCTCCTCCGCTGAGGCCCTCGAAACTTGAAGACGAAATTAAAGCTAGAAAAAGAAGGGACGGAAATCGAGATGCGGAAAAAAGAAAGATGCAGAAATAAAGGGAGGGGGAGATGGGAGGTATGGGGGGAGGGGGGGGGGGAGGGGGAGAACGAGGGGAGGTAGCTCTAGAACAGAAAAGAATAGACAGCAATTTGATCTGTCAAAACCCAATCCATAATTCACAGCTTGCTGATGTTAAATTCAATAAGACACGAGTTAGTTCTCTCCCCTTAGTTAAATTTGTGTGTGTGTTTATCTGAGGATTGAAGCTCTTGGTGACGATCAATATTTTAGTTGTCGTTGGTTACTTTGTGTGGCAGGGTTGTCTCGCGTTATTTATTATTGCTTGCTTCAATCGGATGCATTGTGCAATTTTTATTTCTACATTAGCTCAATGTTTTTTAAATGAAGAGCTTAGTTAGCTCAATTTAGGTGCAAAATAGTATAAGCTTCAAGTCTCCCCCTAACCACCCCCCCCCCCTTGCGTCTAAATTGAGCAGACGTTAAAAAAAAAGAAAAATAACAAAACTGTGTAAGTTCAAAAGTATTTTTTTTGGTCATAACCCCCAACCCCCTCCCTACCCTCTGTAGCCTGCCTCAAATTCAGACTCTGGAATCTTTCGGTGTCTTCTCTCTTACAAAAAGATTCGACCAAAGGCCTTCGCTAGTGTGATACAATTTACAATAGTGTGACGGGAAAGACCTTTTGTCAGAAACAGCTGTGTGTAATTGTCTTGACATTGTCTTGCCTCAAATTCAGACTCCGGAATCTTCTGGTGTCTTCTCTCTTACAAAAAGATTCGACCAAAGGCCTTCGCTAGTGTGCTACAATTACAATAGTGTGACGGGAAAGACCTTTTGTCAGAAACAGCTGTGTGTAATTGTCTTGACATTGTCTTGCCTCAAATTCAGACTCCGGAATCTTCTGGTGTCTTCTCTCTTACAAAAAGATTCGACCAAAGGCCTTCGCTAGTGTGATACAATTACAATAGTGTGACGGGAAAGACCTTTTGTCAGAAACAGCTGTGTGTAATTGTCTTGACATTGTCTTGCCTCAAATTCAGACTCCGGAATCTTCTGGTGTCTTCTCTCTTACAAAAAGATTCGACCAAAGGCCTTCGCTAGTGTGCTACAATTACAATAGTGTGACGGGAAAGACCTTTTGTCAGAAACAGCTGTGTGTAATTGTCTTGACATTGTGAAGTTAAGGCTATTATTAAAGAAAAAAATTGTTTCACCTTTAAAAAAATGTTTCTTCAGTTTATAACCCCCACCTCCAATAAAAAAACAAACAAAGAAATAAAATTAAACAAATTAAACAAAACAACAATAAACAACAATAAAACAACAATAAACAACACTGTAGTAAACAGAATTAGAGTCAGCAGTAGACCCGTACTCACACTTGTAAAAACATCCTGAATGCTGGTACCACAACGTCTAATTTCAATCCTAATTGGTAGCAGTACCTCATAACTAGACACGCGCGTAAGGAGACACACAATAATACACGACAGACGTTCTCTAAAGATGGTTCTAGAACAGGTTAACAGGAGCTGCTGTAATGATCCAACCCGGTATTAAAACGGACGTGGTACGGCTAACCCCTCGCTCGACTACTAACACAAAAGTCTCGAGTTCTGATCTCTGTCTCGAATATGTACGACGACCTTGAGTCCACCCAGCTCTTATAGGTACCTGGCTCACGTTAGGGAAAGTAAACACTGCCGGGCATAGAGCTGAGCACATTATACCGTCAAAAGCCGAGGTCACAGCTGAACTCTACTTCAACTACACAACGGACTTTGAGGTTCGAAAAAGTACTTCACTTTACTTGTTTTTTTACGGTTGACCCAAGAACTGAAAACGTACATGGTATGGCTAACCCAAGAACTAAAAACCTACATGGTATGGCTAACCCAAGAATTGAATACGTACATGGTATGGCTAACCCAAGAACAGACGATGTACGTGGTATGGCTAACCCAAGGACTGAAAACGTACATGGTATGGCTAACCCAAGGACTGAAAACCTACATGGTATGGCTAACCCAAGAACTGAAAACCAAAAACCTTGTTTATAGCACTCTTGCCCAATCATTAAAAGCCGTTTGAAACTAAAAGCATTATTATTCAATTACCTGCCCCATTGGCCGCCATATTAAAATGTCGCAACCCAGTACCCATCAAAGCGAAAAAAAAAAAAGAAAAAAAAACCCTATTCACATTAAGACTCTAATGCTGTCTTCAAATTAAAAAGATATAAAACAAACTAGCTCAACCGTTGCTAGAAAAACAAAGCACGGACTTGCAAATTGCGAATTACATAGCCGTGAGCAGAGATGGACTGGGGTTATCAAGCAACCGAGTGGGGGTGGTAGGGTAGAAAGCGACCTTATCTAAGTTTAATTTTCGAACAATTCCGCATCGTTTCTGGCGACCTACCGTGAATTTTCACGGTGTCACGACGCCCCCCTCCCCCAGTTGTGGTAAGGATGCGATTATAATTCACGTTGATATGGGTGTAAGTGTTTATATGTATATATATATATATATATATATATATATATATATATATATATATATATATATATATATATATATATATATATATATATAGGCCTATATATATATATATGAATGTGTTGAGATGTATGTTTGAATCAACGTGTCTGTAGTATTGTATGTGTGTGTTAGTCTCATCAAAATAAAAAAAAAAGAGATGGATAATGGGAAGGGAGGGGGGGGGGATATTGTCTAATCATTTTAATGACGAACAAAGCACTGGTATCATGTTAAAGTAAAAAAAAAAAACAACAAAGTATACATTTCCAGTGCTATTAAACTGCAATAAATAAATCAAGCGTAATCATCCCACCTATAAAAAGCCAACAAATTTTTTTTTTATATTTTCAACGGCTGATGAGAAAAACATTGAAAGATAACAGTTTATAGTTTATAAATTGCGTCGTAAAATAAACCATTATG